GTGACACATCCAGAACAGTAAATCATATGCCATATATGGTCTGAAATATACCAACCATTAGTTAAGATTTTGTCCTAGCCATTAAAATGTTTATATTTGGAGAACAGTATAAGATAATAAAAAGGACTTATAAATAATAGAGATGGACCTATTGTTCCTTTATCAAAGGAAAATTGAAGGGTTTTAACAAACTTTACGTTGGGTTAAACTTAAAAATATTAGAACCCATGACTTTCTCAGAGACTTTATTAACTTAGGATGAGCCTTGTCCTAAAAGTTGAGGAGGGCAAGGAACCAGGAATTTATTATCATTTATTTCTTACTTATTTTTAGTAAATAGAAGTAAAGTTGAGACTCTCTGGTCTCTTCGAGATATGACTGAGAATGTATGACGAGTTGTCTGTGGCAGTTGAGCCTCATGCTACATTTCTATTCTTAATATGAAAAAAAATTATTTCTTTCATGTAGTACAAATCGATAGGGAAATGAGAATAAAATATAGCATTCTTTTTTGGCAAAGAAATGCTTATGTGTTTAAAACAAATTAACTTTTTAAGGCAGCTCTGAAGAAGTAATTTTTTTTAAATAGGTGAACCATTTACAGCTCTTGTGCGAACACTTTTTCCTCACTTTTCTTCATCATAGAATTAGGCCCTATGTTTTTAATTTAAGTCCTTTAATTTTTGCTGTTAACATTTAATTTATTTGATGACCCTATACTATTAACTTTTGACCTAGTGAACTCAGGATGGTATATATAGAGTATATATGTAATTTTAACGTAACTCTTAAATAAAAATAAGAGGTTTGAAGTATCATACATACCATTTTTCCCGCTTTTTGGATGATATATTTTATAAACATAATTTGTTTTTTTTTTTTTTTTTTTTTTTACCAATTAGATGTTTATGCCATCGGCAAAACAACTCAAAGCTCATGTGCCTTAACTGCAATATTTTGCAATAAGCTGCAAAACTACTCGTATAGTATGGTAGATACAAAGCTTTTTCCTGACAAGAAATTCTTGTAGCATGTGACTAAATCTAATGATCCTCTCATCTTCCTTTAAAAGGAAAGGAATATAAAATTGAAAGTTCCTAAAGTTTAATCCTTTAGATGTAGAAAATGTTAGTACATATAGTTGTTAATTATGATAAAGTTCAAAAGCTTCTTCTAAGTCACTTGATATAAAAATATTTTATGAATAACTTTAATTTATCCTTGAAACTAGACCTGTGGACTTACTTTTGAAAAACTCCCTCCAGTTACAAACTACATGTGCATTAAAGAATATTTAAAAAAATCAGTAATGCTTTGGAAGGTACTTCTTCTGAAGACCCCCCTAACAATATACCACTTTTTTCCGTCCTTTCCCGGTTGACAAAAGAAGGCTCTACATTTATCTTTTGTGTATTGGTATTATTGAATTACATTCATTTAGCATTATTAAATACTATACTTTGTTCCTCTTCTTCAGGAAAATTGCAGTTTATACTTTGTGGAATATAAGGTTCTATCTTTCAGGCATCAGAAAGCAAAGCAGAAAAGACTCGGGGAGGCAGTGGGACCCCTCTTATCCACCTAGGCTACACTATTATTCCACTAAGCGTAGCTATGAGGATGCCTTCACTTTCATCATTTTGGGAGCATAGATAGGTTGATGGTGTCAATCACAGTAGGATAGGAATAAAAGGAAGCTCAATTTATAGAGAAAACAAAGTTTGTTAGTTTATCTAATTCTGATTTGGTATATGTATATAGGTATGTGTGTGGTATATGGTTTAAAGAAATTCTGGTGAACTAACAAGGTATGAAATTGTATTTCATTATTTAAAATATGAATCCTATTAGTTATCTAACTGTTTAATATCCAGCTTAATAATTATTATGGTTATATTTAAGTATGCCATGTTTACTGTATTCAAAAGTGAATAGATAGTAATGTAACAACTGCTGTATGATAAACACGTAGGTACAGGGGAATAAACCAGGTTTCTGATCTCAGAATAGTGGAGGATATGAAGTTTCTGTATACGCCTTCCTAGTTTGCTAAAAAGATAAAATGGTTGTAATTTCATTATTTTATCTTAGTTTTTGAGAGAGAGAGTGTGAGTGGGAGAGGGGCAGAGAGAATGGGAGACACAGAATCTGAAGCAGGCACCAGGCTTCCAGCATTCAGCATACAGTCCGATGCAGGGCTCAGACTCACCAACCAACAGTGAGATCATGACCTGAGCAGAAGTCAGATGCTTCACCTACTGAGCCATCCAGGTGCCCCTGTAATTTCATAATTTAAATACTAGGGGAAATGTTGTAAAATGTGCTCTATTTATTTAAGTGAATGAAAGTAGTTTTGTGTGGTTTTACAGTCATGGGGGGAGATAATGAGATTTTGGACCAGGGAGTAATGGTTGGAATAGAGATGAGGAAGAATCTAGAATGACTCCCTAGTTCCTGGCTTGTAGACTACAATAGTGGTATAATTAACCAGGATAGAGGCAAATGGAGGAAGGCCAGGGATTTTGGTTTACATGTATGTGTGTATAAGGGTGTGGAATAGAAAACTGGGAAAGGGGAAAGAGATGAAATGGTCAGTGAAGACATACTGAATATGGAAGACTGTCACTGGGATATCCATATAGAGAAGTTCAGTAGGGAGCTCAGCATGTGCATCTGAGTCTTAGGAGAAAGGCCGGGACTAGAGTGGGTGTAATTAAGAAATGACCACTCAGAAGTGGACTTTGAAAATTTGGGGGAACTGGATGCCATTGCTCATAGAGACTGAATATAGTGAGAGGAAATGAGAGCTAACATTATTAAAAGGGCAGAGTAAGAGAAGGCAGCAAATTTTTTTTTAAGAATAACTACCAGAAGGATGGAAGGGGACACCAACAGATCTCAGTGTTCTAGAAGCCAATGGGAGAGATGATTCAGAAAAAAAGGAGTTACGGGGCGCCTGGGTGGCTTAGTCGGTTAAGCGTCCGACTTTCGCTTGGGTCATGATCTCACGGTTCGTGGGTTCGAGCCCCGCGTTGGGCTCTGTGCTGACTGCCAGCTCGAAGCCTGGAGCCTGTTTCAGAGTCTGTGTCTCCCTCTCTCTCTGACCCTCCCCTGCTCACGCTGTCTCTCTCTCTCTCTCTCCTANTGACTGCCAGCTCGAAGCCTGGAGCCTGTTTCAGAGTCTGTGTCTCCCTCTCTCTCTGACCCTCCCCTGCTCACGCTGTCTCTCTCTCTCTCTCTCCTAGACATAAAATAAAAATATAAAAAAAAAAAAAAAAAAAAAGAAAAAGAAAAAAAGGAGTTAGGATTATCAGAAGATAAAGACAGGTCAAGTAAATTGAAAAAGATCATAGGATTTGGCAATTATGTCATTAATGTTTGCCAGGACGCTTTCAATATACTGATGGTGGCAGAATTCCATGTTAGGTTGAAAAGTATTTTAAATTGAGAAAAATTGCAACAGATTTATATTATTTCAAGGCTCTTCATTTCTTCTTCAAAACAGAAATAAAGGATTATTGTAGGGAGTAGCTTATAGAATTGAGGAGGAGATTCTACAGTGAAGAGAGTTTAGTATTTATAAAATGTGGGGAGAGTCAGCAAACAGAAGAGATTAGAAAGAAGGAGGGATAAAGGTAAATAAAGAAAGATCTATAGGAGATTAGGGAATGTGGGATCAAGGGTGCAGTAAAGGAGTTGACCTGGAAGAAAATGATACTTTCTCTGAAATTAGAAGAAAGGAGGTGAAGATAATTAAATGTATAACTTATAAGTGTGGAGCAAGAAGGTTAGGAGGTACATAGCTTATAGTTTTGATTTTTTTTTTTCTCGTAAAGGAGACATAAAAGAAGGCATAGGGGAAGTAGCAAGTTTAAGTTGAAGTAAGGTGGCATAAAATATGTGTCTTAAGGAAGGGAGAGGGAGTTAGCCAGGGGCAAGGTTATTAGCAGGAGAGACTGATGTATCTGAAACTAAGATAGGAAAAGATATGAAGCTATGCTGGAGATCATGGTCCGAAATATAAAAAAGGGAATAGTTGAGGAATAGAGGTTAAAATAAGGTAAGGCAGGTGTTTAGAGAGTAAGGGAGTAAAAAAATTGGAATGATATGTGGTGTGGTCAGAGATCAATTATACTGGAGTCTAAGGCTGTGGAACAATTTCTTGATGACCAGAAGGTTGAATGTGTGGCTCTGGGTATGGACCACTGGATGAATGGTTGTAAGCTAGTGGAGTCAGAATTCAAGGTTGTTGTTGGATAGGTTGCCCATATGGACACTGAAGTGGCACATGATGACAGGAAATGCAGGGGAGGCAGATACTGAAAGCCAAGTGCCAAAGTCCACTCTGAATAAGAAGGGAATGACTGGGCAATAAAGTAATGAGAATGAAAGAGAAGAATAAAAAATTTCCAAGATTGTTGATTATGCCTTTTCTTTCTCTCTCACAAATTAAGAGTCATGAGGCATGGACTATGCCTTATTTAATATTGCAAATATTTGTTGATTAATGGGTAAACAAATGATTGCCTCATCATTTTGAATAAGTATTCATGTTGAATTAGTATTTTTGGAAACTTTGGGGTTTTTCTTATTACCAGCAGTTGATACTAAATAATATACAGCAAGATGAGCAAGATGTAGGAAAGAAATTCATAATCCAAACCCAGAAATAACCTTAGCCCCTTTTATTAAATTTTCATACCTGTTTATTGTTCATCCTAGCAATAAATATTCAGCTATAATATTCTTTAATGGCAAAGTAAGTATTCCACATAGAATAAGGATGTACCATAACTTAAGCAGTATCTTATTTAGGAATATTATATGTATTTTTAAAAGGGACAATCTAACAGTTAAATTTTTGCTTTATTTTATTTATTTCCTTAGGATGCAATCTTAGAAGTAGATTTTCTGGTAGGGTTTTCATAGCCAGCTTATTTTTCTTTGTTTTAGGTCTTTTTCTAACAGGCTTGTTTATGTATATTCTTATTTAATCCCAGATTGGATTCGGGAAATTGGACAGTGTTGCAGGTACTGAATGATGTAGGCATGCTGATGTCCACAAAAGTGAGAACTGGTAAGTAATGTCCTTCACAGGAATAATGATGGATTTTTTTTAAGTTTATTTATTTATTTTGAGAGAGAGTGCCCTTGTGCGTGGGTGAGGGGCAGAGAGAGAGAGGAAGAGAAAGAATACCAAGCAGGTGTCAGAGCAGAGCCCAATAGGGGACTTGATTCCACAACTCGAGATCATGACCTAAGCTGAAATCAAGTCAGACACTTAACTGACTGAGTCACCCAGGCACCCCAACGATGGGTATTTAAAAACTTGGAGTTAAGTTTACTTTTCATGAGCACACTAAGAAATGATTCATGAGCTGAATAACAGAATATAGTGGTCAATTCAGAAATGCATATTCAAATTAAATAAAAACTTCTATGAATAACCTACATATTTGTTGACAGCATCCAATTTTAGGAGACGTTTTAATAAATCATGAATAATCATCAAAAGTTCATAGCTTCTCAAACTTTTTCATAAAAGTATGGTTAATAATAGAGAAAAGTGAATAATTGCCCTAGAACACTTGATCCCATACTAGAAGTTTGCTTAGTTTCTTGTCTTAAATTTAATATAAATGTTGCATTATATACCACAGTAGCCTTGTGTTTAGTATAAATATGCTTATAAATTCTTTTAAAATCCTGGAGTATAAAATTGGTATCTAAGAAGATGCCGCATGTTTACTCACTGGCTTTTAACACCCTGGCATATTATAAGTTTCCTTTGTCCTAAACTAGACTTTTAGAGGCAAAGTTCTAGGTTATTTATGGTTGTACAATATGCTCCTTTTCTGTTTTCAAGTTTAGCCCAGGTTATGTATAGTGTTTGGTAGGGAGTAGATTAATTGATGATTACTCACTTTGAACCTGGAAGTGTTGTAAAGACTGAAAATTCACAGAATGAAAATTCAGTATCAGTCTGCCAACAGACTATACTACAAGGATATTAAAGGAAGTCATTCAGACAGAAAGGAAATACCAGATGGAAATACAGATCTGCACCGAGGAATGATGAGCACTGGAAAAGGTAACTACGTGGGCAAATGTGTACTTTTTTACCCATTTAATTCTCTTTTAAGATAACTATTTAAACAAAAATAATAGCAGTGTATTGTGGAATTTATAATATGCATTAGTAAATACATGTCAACAATAGCATAAACCAGGAGGAGAAAAATACAAATAAGATATTATAAGTTCTTTTATTATATGTGAAGTGGTATAAATTTGCTTGAAAGTAGATTGTGATAAATTAAACATGTAGACTATAAACCCTAAAGCAACCAGTAGAATAATAACAAAACAACAAAATGGCTAATAAGTCAAAGGACAAAAAGTGGAATCATAAAAAAGTACTCAATCCAGGGGTACCTGGGTGGCTCAGTTGGTTAAGTATCTGACTTTTGGTTTTGGCTCAGGTCATGATCTCACAGTTTGTGAGTTTGAGCCCATGTGCGCTCAGTGCTGACAGGGCTGAGCCTACTGAGATTCCCTCTCTCCTTTCTCTGCCCTTTCTCTACTTCTCTCTCTCAAAAGAAATAAATAAACTTAAAAAAAAAAAGTACTCAATCCAAAAGAAGGCAGAAAAAGGAGAAAAGGAACAGTGAACAGATGGAACACAGAACAAATGGAACAAATGGAAAATCAGCAAGATGAAGGGTGCCTAGGTGGCTCAGTTGGTTGAGTTTTTGACTCTTGATCTCAGCTCAAGTCATAATCTCACGGTTTGTGGGATATAGCCCTGTGTTGGGCTCTGTGCTGGCAGCATGGAGCCTGCTTGGGATTCTCTCTCTCCCTCTCTCTGCCCTGCCTCTGCTCATGCTCTCTCTCTCAAAATAAAAAAATAAAACATTTAAAAAAATAGCAAGACGATTCTTAAATCTAATTATATCAATAATCACATTAAATGTAAATGATTTAAATATTCCAATCAAATGGTCGAGATTGTCAGGTTGGATAGAAAGTAAGACCCAACATACTTTACAGATAAAGAAACAAAAATGTTAAGAATGAAAGAATGATAAAAGATATACCATACTGATGCTGACATTAGTCAAGAAACAGGTGGAGTGGTATTAACATAGTAGAAACAAAGTAAGATTTCAGAGCAAAGAATATTACGAGGGGTAAGGAAAGCCATTTTGTTATAATAAGGCAGTTAATTAAGAGGATGTGATAATGCTAAATGTTTATGCCCCAAATAAAAAGAGGTTCACAATACATGAAGCAAAAACTGATAGAACTGTAAGAAGAAATAGACAAATCTATAATTACAGTCAGAGATTTTAATAGTTGCTTCAATGATTAAATAATTCAGCAAGAATTAAATTATTAAGTAATAATCCTCTTAAATAATTGCTAGGACAAGTTGAAACATAGCAAGGACATAGTAAACTCAAAACTATCCACCAGTATGCTCAATTGACTTTTTTAGAACATTCCACTAACAAAAGAATGCACATTCTCTTTAAAAACAGTACATGAAACATTTACCCAGAGAGACCATATTTCTGGCTAGGGGTTAGCAAACAATGACTGTAGGGCCAAATCTAACTTGGTTTTATATAGCCTATGAACTAAGAATGGTTTTCACATTTTGAAAGGTTTCTTTAAAAAGAAAAGAAAATATGTAACAGGAGAGACTGCGTGTGACCCATAAAGCTTAAACTATTTACTGTCTGACCCTTTAGAGAAAAAGTTTGCCAGTCTCTGTTTTAGACCATAAAATATGTCTCAATATATTTTAGAGGATTTAAGTCATGCAAAGTATGTCCTCTCACCACAATGGAATTAAATTAGAAATCAATAACAGAAAGCTAACTGGAAAATCCCCAAATGTTTGGAAACTAAATCACATGCTTCTGTGTAACCCACTGATTAAAGAAGAGATCCAAGGTGAAATTAGAAAGTATTTTGACCTGAAGGAAAATAAAAATACAACATATCTTAATTTATATAAATGAACTGCCTACATTAAAAAATACAAAAAAATCTCAAAGCAATGACCTAACTTCCACCTTAAGAAACTAGAAAATAAGAACTAATTAAACACAAAAAATCAAAAGAAATGAGATAATAAAGGTCAAGGTGGAAATTAATAGAAAATAAAGATTAGTTGAGAATACCTAAGGAATCAAAACCTGGTTGTTTGAGATCAATAAAATTGATAAACTTTTGGCTAGACTGGTTAGGGAAAAAAAAGAGAAGACATTAATCAGGAATCCCAATGTCAGGAATGAAAGAGGTGACATCATTACAAATTCTACAGATATGTAGAGGATAATAAATATTATGAACAACTTTAGGCAAAAAAAATGAACAACTTTGATGAAACGGCTGAATTCCCTGAAAGACATAAACTACCAAAGCTGACTCAAGAAGAAATATATAACCCAAATGGTTCTATATTTATTTCCCCAAAATTGAACTTTTAGTTTAAAACATTCTTGTAAAGAAAAATTCTGGTCCATAGGATTTTACTGGTGAATACTTAAAATATTTAGAGAAAAAAATACCAATCACTTTAAGCTCTTCCACAAAAGAAAAGAGAAAGGAATGTTTTTAGGTTTGTTTTTTGAGGCCAGAATTACCCTGATACCGAAGCCACACAAAGGCATTACAAGAAAAGAAAACTCTGGACAATTTCCCTCATGAACACAGACGTAAAAAATTCTAGACAAAATTTTCTTAAATCCAACAATATATAAGAAGGATAATATTATTGTGGGGCAGGATTTATCCCAAGAGTATAAGATTGGTTTAATATTCAAAAATCAATCATTATAACTTACCACATTAATCTAAAAAAGAAAAACTGATCATCTCAATAGGTGCAGGAAAAACCATCTGACGAAATCCAATTTTTGTTCCCAATTAAAAAATCAGCAACTTGGAATGGAAGGGTACTTCTTCAACCACGTGAAGCACATTATAGAAAACCTACAGATAATCTCATGCCTACTGGTGAAAGACTGCATGCTTTCCCTGTAAGTTCAGGACAACAGAGTAATGTCTCTTCCTACCACTTTTATTGGCAGAACCCATGGAAGTCTGCCAGTGCAATCAGGCAAGAAAAGAAAAACACATTCAGATTGGAAAGGAAGAAATAAAACTGACATAATCATCCATCTGTTCCACTTGGTGGAATCTATAAAACCTACTAGAACTAATAGGTAAGTGCAGCAAATTGCAGGATACAAGATAAATATACAATAGTCATTTGTATTTCTTTATTTGAGCAACAAACAACTGAAAATGGAAATACAAAAATAAAAAGTCTTTACAGTAGCATAAAAAATATGAAATACTCAGGAATAAATTTGTTCAAAGACACAAAAGACCTTTACACTAAAAACTGCAAATATTGTTAGGAAAGTAAAGACAACTTAAATAATTGGACAGATTAACCTGCCATTTCTCCTTAAATTGATATGTAGGTGCAACACAATCCAAATCCAAATCCCAATAGGTTTAAAAAGAAACTAGGAAAGAAACTTACAAACTGATTCTAAAATTCATATAGAAATGCAAAGATCTGGAATAGCCCTGTTAACTTTAATAGCAAGAACAAAATTGGAGGACTGACACTACCTAACTTTAAGACTTATTAAATATCTATAGTAATCAAAACAGAGTGGTATTAGTGTAAAAACAGACAAATGGATTAATGAAACAGAATGCAGGGTCCAGAAATTGACCCACATAAGGACAACAGATTTTTTTTTTTAAATTTTTTTTAATGTTTTATTTATTCCTGAGAGAGAGACTGCGTGAGCAGGGGAGGGTCAGAGAGAGAGGGAGATACAGAATCTGAAGCAGGCTCCAGGCTCTGAGCTAACTGTCAGCACAGAGCCCGATGTGGGGCTCGAACCCATGAACCGCTGTGAGATCATGACCTGAGCCGAAGTCAGAGGCTCAACTGACTGAGCCACTCAGGCGCCCCAAGGACAACAGATTTTTGACAAAGTGCAAAGGTAATTCAATGAAGAAAGAATTGTTTTTAACACATTGTGC